TGTGGATCCATTCCCAAATAAAAGCATGCATGGATGCAACAGATTGCCAACCTGTAAGTTTCTAACTTAAGAATACTAAAATAGCACCCATCAACACAACTAATATACACGGTATCATGTGGCAAAACTTATCACACGTGATGTTATTACTATTCTGAGTTCTGTCATATGTGATACATTAGTTGCAATGATAGTTTATATTTTTGTATTTTGAAACACACCAAAAAGGATATAACCATTTGAGGTTCTAACTGAAGCCTATTGCTTCATTCTTGTTATTGTTGTAACCTATTGTACACCCTATTCTGTTTATCCCTCTAGCTGGTTTGCACCTCAAATGAAGAGAAATACATTTATATAACAAAGTCTCTGGCAACAGATTCAGCAAATTCAATTCTTGCTGATACTAAGTCCCACAAATGGCCACAATCCCAAGTCAGTTTCATCACCTACAATCTTCACAGTTAAAATCCTATGATCTATCTTAATGTCATCCTCTCACAACTTCTTATTCTTCCAAGTGCCAACTTTTACAAGAGGTTTCCCTAATGAATTTCTATGGCTTCCTCATCTATCCCAATCTATTGTAACTTCCTGAGTTTCAAGAAGGTTTCTGTCTTCTGTCTTCCTGAGTTTCAATATAAGTGTAATACTGCATGAACTGAAAACATAAAATAATAGAAGGTGAAGGTAAAGTTGTCCCTTGCTTAAACAAGGAAGAAAGGAGGTTCAGATCCATGCATTCTTAGCCTTAGCACTAGATGGTGGTGAGTGGTTAGTTTCAAGATCTGCCAATTAATCTCTTGAGAAAAACCCCTAGTACCCACTGGACAGAAAGTGAGTGGGTCCCAGAGCAGGTCTGAACTTGCTGCCACCAAGAAATGAATCATGGCTGTCCAGCCCACAGCCAGTCACTATACTGATTTGGTTATTGCGGCTCACAGTGCATACAAAATGTCATTAAATGATACAAGTCAAATATTGACTACACTTTAATAACAGTGATGTTTTACACTTCAGGAATACTGCCTGGATTTGTTCGAGCCAGCTGGTCATGGGAAAAGAAAGCGACGCCACAACTACTACACAGGCTCTGCAGGAAATCAATCACACCCTTACAATCCTGATGACAATCATCATAATTCTGGTGTCAATAGACTTCCTCATGCTGAAGCACTAACAAACCGTTACAACACAACCCCTTTTCAGTTTGCCAAGTTCAATGAGAATATTGAATACACAGTTCTTATGCCTGGAGGTACGTTCCTTTCAAAATCATACAAACTTACATTGTAACATTACAGTTGTATAGTGCTCACAGGGTATTCCTTGAGTAGTTGATGCCCGTTCAACTGCCATGAATTCCATATTTAAAGCTTCATTACAGTTCAAAAAATCCTGATACTGGACTATATACTACTATATTGCAGTTCAGTTTTCATAATCACAATTTAATTCTATAAGGTTCAGGATTGTCAAACACCAACACTGTAAATCTCCCTTCATTATTCCTTGACAATTACTTAGTGGTAACACTTGGGATCAAACTCACAGCCTTTCAGATATTGTGCTAGACCATCGGGGTGGACCTTTTATATTAGTGGAAATGGAAGAGATCAAGCCTGGGACCTTTCAAATATTATGCTAGGACAGTAATCCCTAGACAATGAGGGTGGCCCTTTTTATTAGACACCATTCACATGCCTGCAGAGGTCAGAAAACTCATGTGATGGGAATCCCAAGTCAGACAACTCCAAGCCACTCACAAAGGTGAAAGATATAAGAATTTTCCCTTGGGGATGCTCAGACAATCACAAAAATCAATGGTTACATTCTGGCGAATGTTCATAATAGTTACATTATACATACATTTTCTGACTTGTTGAGAAACATTTCACTTAGTGTTAAACATTTTCTTATCAATCTTACAAATTCTGCATCTATCAACATTGCCATTTCCAATCCAAGAAATCATAGCTAAATCAGTCATAAGGAAGTGGCATATTTTCTGAATAATAAAACTGTGAGATAGCATAAAAACATTACTATTATTAACATTAGTATTACTGTCCATCTCCCAAGAGGTATGCTGGCGGTAGCATAGCTACTGGTAGGGCCTCCCTAGCGAGATTGGTCGAGGGGGAGAGGTCAGACTAAGACAGGTACCCTGGTCCTCCAGGTTGGGGGTTGGTCGCTAGGCTAACAACCTTGCACCGTAAAAAGGAAGACGTTTCGAAACCTCGATCAAAGCCAGACGGACCTAACAGAGGACCGAATGGAAGAGGAGAATTGAGGAGGCCATGGACCAAATACAGACCAGAGAGCCATAGAAGAAGAAGATTATTGTCCATCAGTTGGTATATTGTTGTGGCAGACACAGTACAGATTTGCTAACACACAGAACTGCATGTTCAAGCAGTATGGCACTATGATGTGATAAAAGAATTATATCTTGACCTGTACAATCATACATTCAAAATCTGAACGATCCAATATATATAAACAAGAAGAATAGCAATAACAAACAGTAACAATAAGAACTATTACTATATAACTGAGCATAATCTGTTATTCAATATTTGCAGACTTCTACCACAATGCTGCCAACTCAATGGAAGGTTCCTGTAGCACATTCCTGGTAATAGCAGCTGTCCTGGGATGTTTGCTTTTTTTGTCAGCATTCATCATGTGTTACCTTGTGTCTCGTCTCCACGCTATACTTGCATCAACTAATCATACCCGTTCCATCGACCAGTTAGTCCGAGACCACAAGCAAAAGTACCCAGTTGGTCCTGGTGACATTGCAGTTATAGAGAAAAGTGGCTACACGGGAAGAAACACGGTACAATGACGTCACATGAACTTTGTCAGATCCTGGCAAGAATCTGACTTATGTGAGATGGAGTTACTACCGTCATATCTCAGAGTTCCTCTTCACGAGGTAGAACTGTGTTCAGTGGGAATAAATCAAGCACTTTAAAGTTGACGATACAGTGCAGGATGCTGGACAATGTGGGATATAAAAGCACTCTCTGGGGATGGGGGGTGAGGAATCTACAAACTAAGAATTGGTGTTCAACAAAATATGTAAATGTAAGACTGCTTCTCCTGTCATGAAATTTCACATGGACAGTTCAGGATGTTTGTAGTGCTATTTTCTAGACAGAAGGGTGCCGGTTCTCAGGTGTCATGGGTGAGGAGGAAGTGGGATACTTCTTAAGTTTTCTTATTATAGCCACTGTATTTTGAATTACCAAGAATGACGAACCTAAAATAAAAAGTTTGTTTACTTCAACATAAGTAAGAGATGTTTACATTCTTCTTTTGTTTTTTTACCATGAAAGGCATCAAAAACATACCTGGATTTCGTTTGTATTAAGTCTAACGATAATAATAATAATCATAGTGGGCTAGACAGATTAGAATGAGTTGTGTTACCTTTAAACAATAATCTTGCCTGTTGTTTTGTATGGGTGCGAAACATGGTCTCTCACTCAGAGGGAGGAACACAGATTGCAGGTGTTTGAGAACAGGGTGTTGAGGAGGATATTTGGGCCTAAGAGGGAAGACGATGGGGCGTGGAGAAAACTGCA